TGCTTCGAGCGAAGAAGCTCCGAACGTCTCTTTCGTGTCTCGAAAGCCATTGTCTTCGAACGCCTACGACAAGAAGAGTCGCATTTCGGGCCACAAACTCTTTCCTTCATCGCTTCTACGAACATATGCTCGCCAGAAGCGCATTTCATTAGCAGACGCACAGGACCGTGGTCGCCTTTGGACATGGCGAAGACCCTACTGATTCTGGTAGGGTTTGCGACATGGGAAAGGAAAGACCTACTTCAGCAAGCGTTCGCACTTCGAGGCCTTCTAGTGCAGTCACTTCGAGATATTGGTCTCAAAGAAGAGGAGCCGCCCAGGACTATATCGACCTCTAGAGCAGCAATGTGGGATAATTGGGTACAGCGCGAGTCATCCAGACGTACAAAGCTTGTGGCCTTTTGTTACATCAACGTGCATAGTATTGCATACAACATCCATCCTCTGCTTTGGAGCAGCGAACTTCATCTGCGACTCCCTTGCTGTACACCAGATTGGCAGGCTAGTAGTGCCGCACAGTGGGCTGCGCTACAACGCGACGGACGCGAGGATCACATGCCCTTTCAGCAAGCGTTGTCGATACTTTTGCAGGGAACGACAAATGAGGGTAAGCTACTTTGTCAGAAAAGTGATTGAACGTGCGTTAACATATTCCAGAACTAGTACACCCCATACCCAGCCCGATTGGCAATTACATCCTTCTCCATGCACTGCTTCAACGAATACATGTAGTCAGGGAACTCTCCTTCCCGGCCACATCACCGGCGACAATATCAGCTGCAGAGCTACAAGTCATTGGCCGCGCACTCCGCGCATGGACTTCTCTCTGGCAACAAACTCCAGAATCAATGCTCGATCCCAACAATGAGAGCGGACCCATCCCTTTCACATCAAGCGCTCTGTTAGTTGTAGCCTACGTGCGGCTCTCCCTCGACATAGGACCTTACCGTCATCTAGAGTCGCGCGACACCGACGTCATAGCCAACGGTCTAGCAAACCTCCCAGACATTGAGCGCAACGACAATATACTGTCAGCCCTGCTGTACTCAACCCATGCGCTCAGCATCCCCGTCAGATTAGGAATCGACAGGGTAGCGCGCAGCCAAGCCTTCTTTTGGAGCGTTCAGCATGCTATATCGAGCTTCGAGTGCGCCATCTTCCTTGGGAAATGGCTGTGCTGTATTCCACGGCCGTTCCGCGAGGAGTCGTTGTCGCGATCTGAGCATCGAATCCTTCACTGGGTGAGATGTATCATCAAGGAAGCGTATGCGGTGATTGACTTTGAGGATGCTGAAGAGACTGATGGTTTCTTGACTGTACCCAGCGAGCCGTTTGCGCTTGGTCTGGCTGTGCTGAATATTTGGTCAAGGTTCTTTCGTGGTAACACGCAGTGGCAGTTTGTTGTGAATCTCGGGTTGAGCTTAGAGAAATACATCGCCAAGCTGGCTTGAACTATATATTCGCTCGAAACCCACAGCCCCTCATACCTTATCATTATGCATCTTCTCATCATGAGCCTTGACAGTATCCATAACCTCACCATCCCCATCAGCAAAAGCCCTATCCCCGAATGCAATCGCAATCTCCTCAAGCGAATGATTCGCTGTCTCAACATAGTAGAAGTGCGCCAGGCCTGCGGAGAAGAGACAGAACCCTGCGATGACAAGGTAAAAGTACCCACCAATACCTGCAAAAGCGTCCGGCGAAACCATGCCGATAATGAAGTTGAAGACCCAGTTTGACGTCGTCGCAAGCGCCATGCCCTTACTGCGGCTGCGGAGCGGGAAGATCTCCGCAGGTAACAACCATGGCATTGGACCCCAGGTGAAACCGTAGACAATGTTGTAGAGCATGATGAAAGCGAATTGTCCGTTTGCGCGGGTCATAATGGGCATGGAAGCTTCTGTGAAGGCACAGACGATGCCGAGAAGGGCTGCCATGAGAACGCCGCCGAGGATGAGAAGAGGCTTGCGGCCCCAGCGATCGGCTAGCCACCAGGTTGCGACAGTGGCTGCGGTGTAAGGGAGCGCGTTCGCGGCGGTGTAGAGAAGGGACTTCTCGTCTGAGAACCCGGCGCTGGAGAGAGTGGAGGGGAGGTAGAAGGATATGATGTTTATGCCGTTGAGTTGAGCGAACATTTGCACTGTGACGCCAACGATTGTACGTTTGCGGTAGCGGGTGAACATTTCCATCCAGCCAGCTTTGCCGAGCTCAGCCTCGTAGACGACGGCCTCCTGGATTTCGAGAAACACCTTTTGCACGTGCGGGGCGTCGGTATCGCCGCTGGAGTGCAGGTCTGCGACTGTTTGGAGGCTTTCTTGCATGAAACCGTTGTTGGCTAGCCATCTTGGAGTTTCTGGGAGGAAGAATGACATGACCACTAAGATGAACGAGAGGATGATTTGGATGATGAACGGCCCTTGCCAAGATAGCGCGTCTGGAAGCATGAAGTGGAAGCCGTAGTCGACCCAGCAAGATAACATGTAACCTGCAATCAGGCATGTGTATTCAATGCCGACCATGAGACCTCGAGCGTGGGGTGCCGCAATTTCAGTTTGGATGATGGGGACTGTCATGGATAGGAAGCCCACTCCGAAGCCCTGAATCGTACGTCCGACGACGAAAGTTGCGAAACCTGGGGCGAAGATCTGGATGAAAGCCGAGAGGAAGTAGATCAGGCCACCGAGACGGACAGTGCGCTTGCGACCGATCATGTCTCCAAGACGTCCGGCGATGAGAGCACCCACAGCGGCGGAGGCTTGTAGGCAGGCAACCAATATTCCTGTGATGGATGGATTCACTGCTGCTGTGCTACCATCTGCGCCACCGTACTCGCTGAAGAAACGCCTGACGAATACTGGGTTAACCAGTAGGCCAGACATGATACCTAGCGGAATCAGTATTGTTGATCAACATGCAAGTACCCGAACACACCTGAGTTGTAACCAAACAAGGCATCACCGAGACTGCCAAAGCCACATGTTGCGAACAACAAGGTCTTGCCCTTGATAGGGTACCTGGCCGTGATCTTCTTCGGCTTTAGCTTGCTCTCAAGCCATCCCTGTTCAGCAGCGACCTGTCCAGCTATTTGCGAGGCGCGTTGCTGGATGTTGGCGCTCTGACTGGCGACTGAGTTACTACGGGCAGCCATATTCTCGACCAGTATAGAGCAAGATATGAGTAGAGAAGTAGTGCGTGTTACGGAGCACACGGAGGAGATGCGGTGGGATGATGGAGAAATCTGGGGAAGCCTGACAGCTTTATCGTCCCCAGATCTCCGCAGTGGAGCGCGTTCGGCATCATCGCCTGTAGTCAGGTCATGTCACGGTTCCGGTCCTAACGCTGGCCCTGCAGCGAAGAAATTTGGTCGGCATATACTAGTGTGTTTCTCGAGAAGTTGATCAACGCTGTAGCGCTAGGGGATGCTTTGTCAGCCAATCAGAAGCGCTCTTCTCATGAGCCGCGGAACCGGTGCTGGGGCAGAAAATTCCGGGCTGGCGGCTCCGACTCGTGAGCATCGGAAGGTCAGCAGCCTGCATGAGCCGCCGGAACCGTACTGCAGTCGCTCTCGCACTCGGGTAAGGACGCCTGGCCGGTGATATAGTCAGGGCCTCAAGATGGAGACATCAATTCTAATCATTGCCGTACACTGTGTTTCACAGTCATGTCTTCAGCTGATGTTCACGAACCCGAGAATTCCTCTGGGTCTTTGACGTCGCCTGAGAACCAAGTCACAGCGCCAATGAACACGTCCTTCGTCCTGAGCCCATCCAGGGTATTCTCATACGAGCATGGTCCAGTTCCAAGTCTTCCAACTCCCAGGCACATTCGCGTGAGGATTGTGGCTACCGGTCTTTGTGGTTCTGACGTACGTATCGCCCGCTGTGGTCTGTAGTGTGTTCATCAACGTTGACTGCGATCTAGGTACATTACTGGCAACATGGGCAAATCGGAAGATATGTGGTCGAGAACCCGATCACTCTCGGCCATGAATCTGCTGGTATCGTCGATGCTTGTGGATCATCCGTCACAGGGCTGTCGGTGGGTGACCGCGTCGCATTGGAACCTGGCGTAGGATGCAACACCTGCGAGACATGTCGCAGCGGCCGATACAACCTGTGCGAGTCGATGCAGTTCGCTGCCACCCCTCCCTACAATGGCACGTTATCGACCTTCTACTGTCTACCCGAAGAATGCTGCTACAAGCTGCCGTCACACATATCCTTCCGTGAAGGTGCCCTGGTGGAGCCGCTAAGCATAGCTGTGCATTGTTGCGGCCTCGCTGGAAGTCTTCAGGGCAGGTCTGTGGCGGTATTCGGGGCCGGGCCCATAGGCTTGCTGTGTTGCGCTGTGGCACAGGCTTTCGGCGCTGCGAAAGTCGTGGTTATTGACGCAGTGGCCCCCAGGCTGAGCTTTGCGACCGACTTCGGTGCCGATGACGTATACATGATGGAAGCTGGGTTTCCAGAAACGAATGCTCAGAAAGTTTTGGAGAAGGCTGGGCTGGCTACAGGGTTTGATGTTGTGATCGATGCAACAGGAGCAGAGCTATGCATCAACTGTGGTGTAGCTGCGTTGAAACGCGGTGGAGTCTTCGTTCAAGCTGGGCTGGGCTCTCCTAAGATCACATTTCCAATCGGCCAGATTTGCGACAAAGAAGCTACGCTCAAAGGAAGCTTTCGATACGGGCCAGGAGACTACAAGCTTGCTATCCAGCTACTAGAGTCCAATCGTGTTCAACTAGCTAGTCTTATCACTCATGAGTTCGCGTTCTCAGATGCGGAACAGGCTTTTCAGAGTGTTGCGGATAGAGTCGGCATCAAGTCGCTCATATATGGACCAGGAATCGATAGGGCGTTCGCAGAGGGTCGCACCGAGCAGCATAGGGGTGTGTCTGATCTCCCGAGGCTCTAGTCTGTGATGCGCTGAACACATATCGCAATAATTGAATTGCTCGAATTGAGACGCGTGCCCACCAAAGGATGTTTGAGATGCGACAGCTAGAATTGTGGCTCGTTCCAGACGGAATCCCAGAACCAGTATAGGCCGTTGCCAGTAACATCAACACCATTTTCATCGCTGATCCAGTCCAGCTCGCCTTCGAGGTTGAAGTCTCCGGCGCTAGCATTTGTCCAATCATTGTGTTCGCTAGGCAGGTGATCCATACCACTGTCGTTCGTGCCCCATCGCGGGACTTCAGCTGTGTTGTCACGGGAGACGCTGTCGAGGGCGGCGGGAAACACTGTGAAGAGTATGTGATTAGATTGGTACGCAGCTTCGGGAATGCATCAGTCTTACCTCTCTGTACTGACGCCATGCTCTCGTGAACGCGCTGCATGCTGTCAACTGTACTCTGTTGCTGTCTGTTGTGTCCACTCGGTGGCAGTTGCGTCGGCAGACGAAGGGTGTCTTCGACAGACATCTGCGCGGTCCCGGTGTGCGATCTCGTCATATCGCTCTCGCCAAAGATGGCATCTGCTTCTCTGCGCAGTAGCATCTGGATGACGTCTTTGAGGACCGCATTACTCTGCATTGAGAGCTGTGTCCTTTTGCCAAGTAGCTCTTGCAAGCGAAATATGCGTGTGATGGTCCTTTTCACTTCCTGTGCTCTGTCCGAGAGTGGGTCAGACAGCGCCAACACAGCCATAACGATGGCAGAGTTGAACAGATTGATAGCCAAGAAAGCTACCAGGTGGCTGTCAGTGGCTAGCTGAGAAAGCCGTGGTAGTTCAGTCACCTTCGATGTTCTCAACGCGGCGTCCCACCATTGCTCCGTGCTCGACATATGGCTTCTGTTAAGCGGGCTAGACCCATGAACCGCATGAAATGGGGATTCGGTGTTCGTAAGGCTTGCTGGAGATAGTGCGTTGCCATGCCCGCTTTCCGGTTGCGTCCTGATGAGGCGGTCCACTTGTTTTGCGATTAACGGGCGATTAAAGATGATGAGGAGGTTGTCAAATGTCAGCTGGAGGGACAACGCTTGCAGCTGGTGCACCCGTCCGGTGCGTGATTGATCCGTACTACAGTCAGCAGCCATATCTAGTAGAAGATGGGGCGGCAGACGTCGGCGCCACGCCCAAAGCTTCTCCGTCACGTCCGTGATCTGATCAGTGTATTGTGGTCCGCTCGGCCGTTCATTGGGACCCACCGCCCGCATTCCGAAGATGGTCTCGATGATGGGTGACGCGATAAGGTAGAGTTTGTTGAGCTCTCGTTGGTAGGACGAGTAACAAATTGTTAAATCGGCTTCTGGGGGGTTCGTCCCTCTGAAGTAGGGCGACTCGCATACGTCGATCGGGTGGTGTGTATTGCAGTCCTTCTCGTTGATCCCGATGGGTCGTCCGTACGTAATGGAAGCGAACCTGGTCAAGTTAGCTAATGATGCTACAGTATACGAGGAGGCTCAGACCCTGTACTGAGGTCCTTCGTATCTCCAGGGAGGGGCGCATTACCGATCCCATGTGTAGATAGTCCACCAGACTCTTTTCCTCTCTTCGCCATAGTGAGGGTCGCCTCGTAGCGGCTGGCGGTGGAGGCCGATGGCTTGTGCCGTTCGAATGGTTGCGCCTAGTAACGCAAAGGATAGATTAGGCTTCCCATGGTAGACATAGTAGGAGCCGAGCAAGATACACGTCTGAACAGACGAGATGGTACTCTGGTCCATCAGTTCAGCCAATTGGGAACCCGCGCCTTGAACGAGGGACTGCGACCAGGCGTGCCAATCCTCGTCTGGAAAGTCCGGATCCACGTCCTTCTTGTGGGACTTGTACCATGCTCCCATTCCCACAACTATAGATAAGAGGAGGAGGAATGACTTCTGCGACGGATAAGCAAGGCCATCTTTGATAGAGTCGAGTTTTGGCCGGAATCTTGGCTCATAGATGACCAAGCTAAACCAATGCACCGAGTCGAAGTACTCTTCCAAGAGTGCCCGCATCATGTCGATTGGCGGCAGAGAATGACCGAGAATAGACGCTGTAGGGCGTCTCTGAGTGCGATCCAGACGAGACGCTGGAGCTCTGCCATAGACATTGCCGCCCGGTATAGCTGATGTTGTCCGGCTCAATGTTGGCTGACTTCCCAGTCGGTAGATCTGGTGTGCGATATCCATGGCCGAATTGGCTTCACCTTCTGCGATACTAGCACGCCTGCTCTCATCGCGACTGTTGCTCTCCGGATCTATAGTTTGATGCGTACCTTCATGATGCTGAATTGGAGCCTGCGGTTGCTCATGCGAAGCTTCGCGGGAGGGGCCTTGGGTGCGTCTCCTCTTCGATGCGCGTGGAATTTCGGCATTACCTACAACGCATTCCACGTTTGCTCGGATGCAAAGCGCGCAAGGACGCGATATGTCGCACTTGGATACTCAGTCGGCGGCGCGCGTGACAGGCGGTGGGAGGGCGTGACTGACTCGGCTCTTGTTGCGACGAGTCCTCTCACACGCCTTGCTGACCCTGGTGGGTAGCTGACGCCCGACAGCGGCATCAAGAGTTGCCGAAGACATTGTTTGGGTGGTGCCATGGATGATGTTGCGATGGAACGGGTGAGGGCGCGCACGCGTCAGGCACGCCCGGTCAGCTGCGGAGCTCGGCGAGGTTTGCACGGTTGCCGTCGATGCCGCTGCCACTGCACTTTCGCGTCGTTTCCGCCCACCAATGGCATTCTCATCGCTTTGCGTGTCGCCGAATGCGCTTCACAGGTGATGAAATAGGCAGTGTTAGACAACTCGCGCGCCTGATTCTCTCAGTCATTCCGCCTCGATGTTACAGATCTAGCGCTTTCACCAACCTCATCAGGTCAGCACCAACAATCATCGGATATAGCACCATATCGCTTTCTGACATCACCGAGCGTGATCGCGGTCATGGAACGTGGCCAAGATGGAGACGCGCCGTCCGAGGTCTTCGTGGACGAACAGCCGCCTGCAAAGCGACGGCGAACATCAGAACAACCTGCTCGGGAGGTGGGCTTGATGCGAAGCGTCCCTGGTGACAAGTTCACGGGCTTCGTGGGCAGTGCCAGCGGCATCTTCTTCATTAGGTCAGTCTATGGTGCGATCCGACGCTCTGCAGTGCCTACAGACCGCGAAACGCCCGGCAGCGACATCGTGCCAGGCGAAGACGACCATCTGTCTCTAGTGCAACCGAATTCCTCCGGACGCCTATGGCGGGAAGCTGAGATCTCACACGGTCAAACCTCTCACATAACGTTTCGCGATCTGGTCGCTTTTTCTGGGAGCTATTTTGCCAATTGGCACCCGTTCTACCCCTTCGTACACGCCACAACCGTCCTAGAGTACTTCGATTCTTATGCAAGAAATGGCTTTCCCGATCATGGTGCTTCGGAAGACCTACAGCTGGTGATAGTGCGTTCGATCATGTCCATCTCGCTTGCAGACCATCGACAATCGCCAGCGCTACCGAGTACTCGACATCCTGCCTGTATTGTCTTTCCATCGTATGATGCTGCTGTAGATAGTCTCCGCACGATACTTTCTCGTCCCACGACAATACTCACGCTACAAGCCGCGCTCAGTGTGCAGCTCTTCTTAGTCTCTATGCTTCGCTTGAATGCCGCCTCCCGTCTTGGAGGGCTGATTATGCGGATGGCTGTGCAGCTAGGGCTTCATCGTTGCCCAGCCAGATTTTCGACCTTCACATCAAGCACAAGAGAGCTTCGGCAACGCGTCTTCTGGTCACTTTATGCTGTTGATCGTCTTCTTGCCCAATCCATGGGCCTCCCACTCGGCCTACCTGACGACGATATCGACGTCTGCTTTCCCCTCGCGGAACACCATCTGCAGACGCGCGTCGAGCCTCGTAAGTTAGGTAATGTTTCTTTTGTGCCATATCTCACAACCTGCAGGTCGTGAACTCCACCTGCTGCACCTGGTTGCCCAGCAAGCCAGGCTGCGTGGCGAAATCATCGAATTGCGCAACAAGTCGCTACACTACGTTCAGCATGATCCTGACCGAGCGACATCAATCATAGCTAAACTTGGCCAATGGTGGAACGATGTTGAGGACTTCATCGACCCGGATAGCCGATGTGGCGCTTCTCATTACGCGACTGTAGTGTTGACACTACTTAGACACGAGTTGATCATCTCGCTGTATCGTCCCGTCTTAGCTACCGGTAGTAAAGATGTCGCTTATAATGCCGCTTTAGAACAGTGCATCAGTTCTGCGCGTAGCATTATCACTACCTTGCACAACGCTATCCAGGGCAAAGATGGGTCGCAAACTTATCATTACCAATTGGCTCTCCTTTGGCCCTCCTGCACCTGGGCTGTGTGGATCAGCACATTCATCATGTTCTACGCCGCCCACGAGGGCCGCATTGATCATAGCATCGTCATAAGGTAATCAATATGTCGAAATCGTGTTACCTTTACTAACATTAACAACCAAGATTCGCAGATAAAAGTCTCGACATACTTCAACACCTCACGCTACGCGGCAGTGCTTGGCCTGAAGCAAGCTCGGCGGCCATTCGAGACTTACAGGCTCGAATGCTGCAGAAGTCGGCTCAAATGGTTTCTAGATACGACTCGGAGGTCGCGGGAGATGCAGGCATTGCTCAAAAAGGTGATTTGAACGTACATTCAAGCCTGCACGAGCAGTCATTACCTACCCGCAACGATCATCCAGAGCAAATCGGTAGCCAAAGGAGGAATGATGTAGATCCTCATCATGACCCGCAGTTTCCTCCATATGATGCAGCGTTCGATTCCAGTACGACGAGCAACCCGAACCGCAATGCTACTTTTCTTGAGCGCAACAGCTACTGGAACATATTCGTTGGGACGGAGGGTGCCAACGCTTCATCAACAGAGTACTCCAACGGCCTAGACCCTTTCTCTGGCTTCGACATCCCCTTCTGGTTCGATCAAGAGCAGCATTGGGATTTCACATAGTTTCAAGCGCCAGGATAAATCCGAAGTGCTGGGTGTGGTGGCATGGTTTGGGAGCGTCGGACTTTGTTTGTCCGCGCTCCCCCGCACTTACCCTTATCCAGCGCACCAGTGGCGAGCTCGGCAACAGTCCCATCGTCGACGAAGTGTGAATATGGGGTTTCTTAGTCCGGACTATGAGGCTTAAAAGATACTGCGCATAGAACACCTCAAGAGATATCAACTCAAGTGCTTACCGCCATTACGATCACTCATTAGCCGTTACTCCCTGTCCGAACCCAACATTTCATCAGCCACCAACATGCGCACGCACTCTATTGCGACTATGGGTGCCGATGGCATTGGCCCTGAAGTTATCGATGCCGGGGTAAAAGTTTTGAAGAAGCTGGCACAACTTGACGGCACATTCGGACTACAATTTGAAGACTACGACTGGAGCTCTGAGACCTACAAGAAGACAGGCCAATATATCCCTGATGGGGGATTAGAGAAGCTCAAGAAGCATGATGCGATCCTGTTTGGTGCTGTAGGTGCCCCGGGTACGTATCATATGCTAAGTCTTATGCAGTGTTGGTACTGAATCCTGACAGATGTACCTGATCACATCTCCCTCTGGGGCTTGCGGCTCGCGATTTGCCAGACCTTCCAGCAATATGCCAACGTGCGACCCACCAAGATCTTCCGGGGAACATCATCGCCTTTGCGCAACGCAGAGCATGGCGATCTAGACTGGGTGATTGTACGAGAGAATTCTGAAGGTGAATATGCAGGACAAGGAGGCCGGTCGCATAGAGGCCAGAAGTGGGAGACTGCTACGGAGGTCTCGATCTTCACCCGCCATGGTGTGGAACGACTTATACGCTTCGCCTTCGAAACAGCCCAAAGTCGGCCGAGGAAACAGATAACGGTCGTTACCAAGAGCAACGCGCAGCGCAATGGCATGGTTATGTGGGATGAGATTGCTGCCGAAGTTGCGAAAAACTTTCCTGATGTCAAGTGCGACAAGATGCTCGTCGACGCCATGACGTGCCGGATGGTACTTGATCCGAAATCTTTGGATACGATAGTTGCAACAAACTTGGTGGGTAACACACAGCGTACGGTGTTTTCACCTCGGCTTTGACTGACTCGTCCAGCATGCGGATATTCTTTCCGATCTCGCAGCTGCACTGGCAGGCTCCATTGGCATCGCTCCTACCAGCAACCGTACGTATCTTTCATTTCCACATGGTTGCATCCATTGCCCATGCTAAGTGTTACCAGTGGACCCCACACGCCAGCATCCGTCCATGTTCGAACCGATTCATGGCTCGGCTTTCGACATTACCGGCAAGGGTGTCGCAAACCCAGTCGGAACCTTTTGGACAGCGTCTGAGATGCTAGCATGGCTAGGCGAGGAGCAAGCGGCAAAGAGATTGATGGAAAGCGTGGAAGCTATCACGGAGCGAGGCATTGCCACGCGCGACCTGGGAGGCAAGGCGTCGACAAAGGAGGTTACTGACGCGGTCTGCGCTGAGCTAGAAAGCATCTACAGCAAGAGTCAGTAGAAGCCAGGGTCAAGATGGGGTGGGCCTGATGATGCGGCAACGTTAGCCGCTGGCTCCAACCTGGTGGAGCGGACGTTGTCCGGTGCAAAACCTGACTCGTAGCCGATGCGATTGTCCTTTAGGCCTACAACGCCATGTGCCAGCCATCACGATAGCTTGAAACGCCATATTGTAAAGTTCAGAGATCAGCAACACCCGTCCACATCCGCGCATGTCGATCGTGGCTACGTTACCTTTGATGAAGCCACCACTGCCACGAAGCCATTGTTGGGACCTTATGTGAACTCTAAAGCAGAGCCTCTGGCGATCTCTTGTTTCCCCTATGCGGTCGCACACCCAAAAGAGGCGACGATTGACAGCATCTCCATCGGTCGCATTAACCCGAGGCATGCTGGTATCACTAGCCGTCTGCAACATGAAGCAGTGGATACCTGTGCGACCAACCCGGAGCTAGCCCCCGCATCCTACCCATCCTTCCCCGCACACCACCGAATCATCATTCCCTGTATGCAGTCGCCCAAGCTCAACTGCCGTGGGATTAAGGCATCCCCCACCACCACCACATTATAGTGTCCGTCGCATCTTCGACAATTTAGGATTGCTTCCACGCTGCTTCCATCTATCTGCTGTGCGATCTAGATTGCTTCTTTG